GCAGCAATACCTGGTGGAGGGGCAATCTCTATTAGAAATAGAAAAGTATAAAAACTTTTTCTGGCTTTACTTTGACAGGAATTGAAACAATAAAAACAATATCTAGAAAGTCTTGTTTGATTTTTGATTTCATAGCTTTTTTTTTTTAAAAAAATGCCTATTTGATTATAAGAAGTTACAGTTACAAGAATAAAATAAAATATAAGTGAAATAGAAAATAATAAAATCATTTGACTTGCCTGAAGTGTTGGTGAAAAGATGGTTGCACTGACAGGCTTTTTAATAATAAGGATTTCTGTATTGTCTTGTATTTATATTTATGATTTGAACCGTCCAGACTGTGTGAGTGCTCATATTAATAGATGGTAATTTTTTATTTTCATCATGATTTTAACCATTAAACAGTTTCTTGACTGAATTTTATTTCTTACCATCTACTGTATTGATAAATCTGAGGTGTTCATGCTTTAGGTGAGATTGGATCATAATAACAATGAATTCTATCAGGCAAAAATCATGAAAACTACAAATATCTTTTAGATATTTTTATTTCCTTATTATTCTGTAATCTCAAAGACTACAGTGGACTTTGCAAGTCTGGTTCAAACCCTTGGTACAATTTACAGATATCAGAAGGTGACATGTTGTGCTCAAACCATTAAATGTAAACATATACAGTATGGGAGCAACTATCCATCACACTTTTTACTACAGAGATGGGTCCTGTGACCTAGAGACTAATTGTTTTATTGTAAAATGAGAGTATTTAAAGTAAAAGACCTTGTGAAGATGCGTTTAGAAGCTGATAAAAAAAAGTGTTTTTTACTCATGGTGTAATCTGCACAGACCTGGGCTGAAAGGCCATTTAGAGAGGCAGCTGTCATTACCACCACCCCCACCACAGAAAAAGACCAATTACTTTTTGCAAATGCAATCAAAGTCAAATTCCTTTGAAGAGATACCTCATGCTGAGCTCTGATGAAACTACAATTGAGGTGTTTGACCATAATGGCCGCCATTCTGTCTGGAAAACAGGGGATTTTGTAACCTTGAGGGCATCAAAAATGAAAGGAGTGTCAGCATTTTGTCAGTGGTATTTCCTGCTGCAGAAGAGGCTTGTGAACTTAATAAAAAAAAAAAGGAGGCATCATGAGAAAAGAACATGTAGTGGAAATAGTAGGGCAATATCTCAAGAGCTTAGCTAATAGAAATTAGAAATTGAACTTTATTAATCACACTTAACTTTGCATTTAATCTATCCTCTTGGGGAGCAGTGGGCTGCCATTGTGCGGCACCTGGGGAGCAGTGTGGGGTTAAGGGTCTTGCTCAGAGGCCCAGAGTGCAGGCTGTGGGGATTGAACCGGGTACTTAAAGCTTTTCAGAGCACAAGTGCACTGCTCTAACCACTAGGTAAAACACTCCCACAATAATAATAAATATTATCAGATTATGTTGAAGGAAAGAGTGAAGGAGACTTGATCATCGCCTCTTAGGACATTTATAGGCAGAGCTGAAATGTTGTAGGGGATTAAGGAGACCTAACAAATCTCACTCCTTCACAGCAAGTCTTTTAGCAGTAATTAGGGCCAAACATACTGGAGGTTATTGTCAGAGGCTTGTAAAACTGTTCCAAAAATATCAAGTGGTTGGGTCATTGTGCTTGTATCCCTGAGGTTCTGAGTTTCAAGCCCCACTCCCACAGACTGCCACTCTGGGCCTCTGAGCAAGACACTTAACCCCATACTGCTCCCAGGGCGCCGCACAATGGCAACACACTGCTCCCCAAGAGGATGGCTGAAATATAGAGTGTGAAATTCAATGCTTTGTACTTGTGACAGTGTAATGACAAAGTTGAATTTTATTTTCTATTCTATGAACGTCTGTGTCAGAAATGAAGTTTATGTGTGTTTTTTTATTTTATTTTTTACAGTGTCCTGTCTGGCAATGTGGCAATAAGAATAATTGTCTTGATGCCAAAAAGAGCCCAACAGATTTCACTTGTTTCATGCATATAAATTGCTTTATTATAATTATGCAGGGAGTTTTACAGTTTATATGGACACTGCAATGTAAATAGAGCAGCAAAACAGAAGAAGAAAAAAGAAAAAAGAAAAGAAAAAAAAAGAGAAAGAAAGAGGAGGTAGAAAGGAGACAATGACAAAACATTTTCAGTCTGCTTCATCACCTGTAACGAGATGAAAAAAGAACAGCACAACCGAAAGACATGGTACGAGACATACAATAAAGCAACACCTTGAAACTATCACTGAAGTAGTATTATTAAGTCTGACATATACTCTGTGTTACCTGAAGATATGAATCTGGGCTTTCTGTATGGAAGTGAATCTCTGAGTACCTGGAGCCAAGCACCTGTAATTGTTTGTGAGGGTGCACTTGTGCATGTAAAGTTTATCCATAGGAAAAATGCTCAATAGTGGTTGTGTCTTTTAATACACTGAACCTTCTTTCATCCATACTTTGATGACCTCTTCTCTACATTTCCGACAAGAGTGAGCGGGTAGACGTTGAGAACTGCTGATTTGAAGCAGATCAGTGGGTCAATTGTCTCCTCTGGGGGTTTCCATGTACTTGTGATGTGCTGCTTTTATTGCAACCATTAACAAGTCTGTATTGATCACAGACAGCGACTCAGCAGCATGTGACCCAATGTGGAACTTTTAACATAAAATCTGTAGAAGATTTGTATGACTTCTGATTTTTTTCTTTTTCTTTTTTCAATGTAGAAGGTGACTCAATGAGAATTGAGCTTTAAAAGGTGAGTCAGTGAGCTCATTCTTTAGGAATGCTTGTCAGGTGATTGATATGGAGGTTTCTGTTCCCCTCATCAGAGCTGTGGTTTCCAGTGTTTGTCCGGAAGAACAGGGAACCGGGAGGCTTTCCTCAGAGAAGGGAAAGGAAAGTGGAAAATGAGCAATGAACATCTACAAGTAGACATGGGCCAGTGTTCCCATTGATGAGACGACAGATGGTTTCAGCCTGAATCTTTACAGGTAAGTTAAATATTTCTGGACGTGATTTATATTTTCCAAGAACACATTTTCTTCTGGAATGTGATATTAGCTGAAGGGTTTGTCTTTTATGAAATTGTGGTTAAGAATGTGTTTTTTTTTCTCTGTTTAATATTACATATACTTTTTAACTTTTTCTCAAATAAAGACAGCACAATCTGGTCTATATTTTTATTTTTAACAGTAATATTACATGCTACTTTATTTTAAAAAAATCAAAGCAACAAACTAAATGCTGATTCTTCTAATGAATTCTTGCCCTTTACTGAATTGTGTTAGTTATTTTCTAAATAGATAAAGGCTTTGAAAACATTGCTTCTCTTGTTGTTTCATTCGTATCATCTCTGAGAGTCATGTTGTGAGAGATGGAGCCAAAGACAGATACTTGATGGGCTTTGTCACAGTCTGACATGTAAGCTAGTAATAAAGAAAGTCTGTTAACCACCTTAACCAAAAGAAGTGCCAATATTTGAGTGGGTTTCAACGTATGCAGTGTTTTTGCTTATATAGTACTCTCGGATGGGTTGAATGTTGCATGCATTTCTTAAAAAGTCACCTGCATGTGAAAGATTTTAAACCAAAAGATAAGCAGATAACGTTTTAGCACCTTTGAAAATGTGGGAAGGTCTCATTTTCGTTTTTCTCATGTAGATCAAGTTGAGAAAAAAAATTTCAAAATTCAAATTAGTAAAGTTTTCAGTCCACTGCAAGACCAGTTACAAAAGTTCAACATTACATAATTATAAAGGCTGAATAAAAGAACAGGTAGATGGATGGATAGATCAATAGATAAATGAGTGGATGGATGCATAATTATGACATTTAGATAATGGGGCAGGGAATAAAAATCTTGAAATGTGCATTTCCATAGTATAATATCTGTTTCTACACGTATCCAGACCCTAAACATACTTTGACTAGATTTCCTTTGTTAATGTATGGAACATCAAAGCGTTACACAGGTGCAGTTTTATTGTATTTTGGGTTTATTCAGCTTAACACGATCAACAGAAATAATTAAGTAATATGCCTCTTGATTATGCATAAAATACTAAATCATAGGTCTTAAACAAGGGGTCTGCGACCCCTATGGGCCCAGGTGCTGCTTGAGGGTCTCAAAAGTTTTGGTTGATTAGACTTTTTTTTTTTTTTATATCCCCCCTTGCAGTTCTTTCCACTAATTGAAATGTCTTTAAATACACATTAAAATGAATTCAACACACTGTTGTAAACAGATAAATATAGGCAGAAGATATATCTTTCAGTCATCAATGCACACATTCAGCGACACACAGAAGCTCTTTCAAGCTGGGCACCATTTCTTTCATAACACCTGTCCCATCAACCATGAATCAGATTTAGAATACTTTAATAACCCGAGGGCGAAATTACTTTCGTTACATTACTCCATCTTTAATACAGTGACTATAGAACCAGTTTGATATAACGCAATTTTACACAATATATATATTTAGGAGGTCCCCGCTTCATCGAGCCATCAGTTTGGGGGCCCTTGTCCTGAAAACTGTTGAAGACCCCTGCAATAAATAATTGAGTAACCCACAAATCGATAGAAAAAACAGGAAAGAATTGAATGAGAATTCAGATATCAGGAATTCTGTTTTAAATCCTCTGAGCATAATTTCCAAACAGTCAAAATAATACATTCAATCATAATAATGAAATCAAACACTGAAATGTTTATTAAAAACACACAAAGCAGCTTGTGAGTCAAAGCCTTTTTTTATTTTATGAATTAAATGTTTCTTTTTCTTCGTATCCTTGAGTCATTCGATGAGGCTGATCTTTTTTCTTTTTTTTTTAGGGGGGTTAATGATTTATTTCTAAGGCTGTCTCATGAAATAGAGTGTGACGCGGCCTGTCTCTCTCATTCACTGAAGGCTCCTTTGTGCTCAGTAGGTGGGATATGCTTTTCAGTATCGCTTCAGACAGTCAGATAGGGGCCCCCTAGCGGCGGTGCGGTAGAACTGCAGTTAGTGACTGAGAGAGTAAAATGGGTGGACGGAAAGTCCCCGTGTGGAAATCCCCTTGACTTGGAGTTTTTTGTCTCCTTTTTTTAAAAACGAGCACCAGCGGATGAGTGTAGTCTTTCGAAAGGACTCCTCCGAGCCACCAGAGCTCTGAATAAGACGTTATAGTGGAGGGGGGAGAAAAAAAAAGAGAGGCTTGAATGGCGCCGAGAGCCGCAGCGGTGAGGCTGAGTGAAGTGGCTGAGAGTGGACTAGCCTGAGCATCCGGGGAGGCTTTGTTATCACCCACCCCCCTCCCCCGACATATTACACAGGTAAGACAACACTTCTCCCCCCTCCTCCTGTTTGCCTTTTTGGCCTGGACTACATTCTTCCCCCGCCGAGGGGCTGGGACTTAACGGACACATCATGTGTGTTTTTTTGGGGCCTTGAGTAACATGTTGGTCGTGTTTATGGGGACATGGAGGAAAAACCTGCTCACGACAGTGGCTTTGACAGCCATTGTTTAAAAAGACGTACCCCCTAGGAGCGGATAACAAGGAGGAAGGAGCGTTTAAACGGACTAATTTCTGCAGCTCTCTTTTATCCAAACCGCCGCCGATCACTACATTGTCTCAGAGGTAGTTGTCATTGCAATTACGTAAGCCTTTAACGTCAGCAAAGTCTCCTGTTGTTGTCTTTTTTTTCTTTATTCGTGTGTGTGTGTAGCTAGCTATGCTAACCCCTCAGCCTGTGTAGCTGCTGGGGCAGCAGTCATCCAGCCTGCTGCTGCTGCCTGGAAGTGAGTGACTTTAACAGGGCCTGGATGCTGTTGCACCTGCTGCTGCTTGGAGAGAGAAGCTCCCCTTTAGCCTTCAGGTGGTTGTGAACTTCAGCAGCATCCACTGACTCTTTGTCAGCCTGTTGATGTGAGGATAAAGGGTGGACATTTAAAAAAAATCACTTGCTGACCTTTAATTTAGTTGAAATAGTCCTTTAATAGTCCTTTAAAACCCACCTTGCCCAACTCCTATATAGAGAAGTAAAGAATAACAGTTTTAGTGCAGGCAGAAAAATCTAAATTTATGATATTGGTGAAGATATGTCCTAATAACTGGTATCAAGGTAAAATTCAAGTTTGAAAAAAGTTTGTAAAAGCCTGCATTAGGTTTATTATTGGTTTATAAACCACATACCTCTTCCATCTAACAGTCATTTAAGTTAACTCTTTATAGGGCAAGTTACCATTTTTGATCCCTTGCACACCCCTTACAAATGGAGTCCAATCCTTCCCTCAGTGAGATCTAGAAGCACAAGATCTATATCCAGCCATTCAGCAAATATACTGCTACATGGCTGTACGTCTTATTTTGGCATTTCACCAATTAGAGGAGCCCTTGAGTGATATATTACCTACTGTAAATTAAGTCGAGAAATAAAAGAAAGTTATCAAGTAAAAAAAAAAGGTAAAAAGCTACTTGAAAAGCTAAGTAAATTTAACATGCTAATAAGCCTAGTTAACAATAATATTAGGTTTATAAAGTAAAAAATGTAAGTGTCAGTAAAAGCATTAATGCCTCTAAGATTATGTTGTACCAAAAAAAAGTGTTTCTTTCACTCTCAGGGTTTTTCATGAATTTCTTATAAAAGCTCTTTTTTTATTAATATATTCGGGTAAGTCGGCGTTTCTTGTTATTACATTCACAGAAATTGTTACCATCAAAATATCGATATTTTTTTAATGTAACAAAGGCAATAAGGTCATGTCCTGAATTCCAGTAAAACTATTGGCTTGACATTTTGATTTTCAAACCATTTAAGTGAGCGCTCTATAAAGGGTTAAAAGTACTTTAGATAAGATCCATCCATCTTCTTCCGCTTATCTGAGGTCGTCCCTCTCGTCAGCCACTTGGGCCATCTCCTCCGGGGAATCCCAAGGTGCTCCCAGGCCCTCCAAAGTGTTCCGGGTCTCCCCTTGGGCCTCCTCCCAGTGGGACATGCCTGGAACACCTCACCAGGGAGACGTCCTAACCAGATGCCCGAACTACCTCAACTGGCTCCTCTTGATGTGGAGGAGCAGCGGTTCTACTCTAAATCCTCCCCGGATCACATCTTTTAAGAAGATGTCTGGAAATAAACAAAAACTTAAAACTACAGAGGAATACGGGCTGAGCACTGCCCATTCAGCAGGCTCAGAAGAAGTATTTTCACCACTATAAACGCAGAATTGTAATTTTGTGAAAAAATACATTTAGCTTCAAATCAACTGATGTTTTTTTTAAAGGTTCCCTTCAAAACTACTGCCGCTAGAGACAGAATGGGGAAAACCGGTGTTAGACTTTGAAAAGAGTTTCTGTCTCTCAATGGAGCATAAATTGGATCAAGCCAAGCATTCAGGTTCAGCTTTTAAAGTTGGGAAAATAAGTTTGATCATTTAGGTAGAAGATAAAATCAATGCAATTACAGTTAGCAACAGGGAAACATCATAAACTTTCTACAGTTCAATATCTTTTAAAGCAGCGTTGTATAACCTTCAGCCACTAGGGGCACTAGAGCTGTAACGTCCAGGTTCCGCTCTGCTTAAGACAACTAGCATCATTGCGTGGATTTACTTGTAAAGACCGGGTCGCGTTTACCCATCTAGAATAAATCCTTATCCTACATCAGATAACTAGAAATATGTCTGAACAGTTAAGTATGTTATCTGTTTTGTTGCCTAACAGAAACTTTTCAAGTTTAAGAGGCGCTCAGGCTGCAATAAAGAGGCGTTCTGGGTCACATGACTAGTTCAATGACGGATCCGACCCTCTAACTTTATATAGGTGTATTTTTTTAGAATGGCAGCCTGCATCGAGCCTCGATATACACCAAGAGCTGCTCCCCAAGCGGATGGGTTGAATGCAGAGGTAAATTTCTCTAATGTGAGATCAATAAACTTCAATTATTAAATGATGCTAATAGTTGATTCAATTGTTATTGCTATAATAGTCGTTGTTGTGACTTACAACCAAAAATGACGAAGCGAGACGGTCAGTTTCATTTGGTTTAACTTTAGTGAAGAACGGTGAAGGAAAAAAGTAACATACAACGTGCGCCAGTCAGCTCGGCTCAACAACACTCTTTTTTTTTTTTTTTTTTTGCTCCTAGAGCATCCTGGGTAATAGAGTCCACTTCAATACAACTACAAATAAATGCAGTCCCAAATTTAACCACGGTTTCAAACATGAACTGTGTTATCAACATTAACGTTAACTTATATTTTTAACTCATTAACTTATCATTCAAAGGTTATGAAATAATAAGTCCTCAACAAATAAATTCACAACATCCTCCCCCCCGATAAACTACAGTTTATCTAAATTTCCAAAGAATACAGCAACTGAACTGGTCTCCGCAGAAGGGCGCCTGAACATGTTCGAACAGCACATGACCTGACAAGACCATCACGTCCTGGGAAGAGTTCTTGAATTCGCCCCATTTTCCAGCTCTGTCTTGGTAGATTATCCTCTCCGATTAGCACAACGTCTCCCACCTTCAGCAGAGAGGGCTGCTGGGAGTCGCAGCGATGGGCTGACTTCAAGTCCAGTAAATATTCTTTTCGCCATCTGTTCCAGAAGTTGGTCATAAGTCTCTGCCTGTAGCGCCACCTCCGTGTCATCTCCTCCTTATTTGCTGTTGGATGGATTGTTTCAGCTGGAAATGGCTTTGGGGGTAAACAAGTCAGTCTCTGACCCACCAAGAAGTGAGAAGGTGTCAGCGGCTGTGGTTCATCCACGTCATTGTGCACGTAAGTGAGTGGCCTCGAGTTTATTATGGCTTCAGCTTCAGCTAGAATGGTGCACACTTCTTCAAAGCCAAGTTTAGCTCTGCCAAGCACCTTCCTAAGAATTACTTTGACTGACCTTACAAGCCTTTCCCAGAATCCCCCCCACCAGGCTGCTCTTTCAGCGATGAACCGCCAGGTGATGCCCTTCTCTGAGAAAAATTCTTGTAGCTGTGGATCTTTGATGCCTTTCCAGAGTTCCTTCAGATCCTGATCAGCTCTCTTGAATGTTTTGGCATTATCTGAATAGATCACCTTGCATAATCCTCTTCTTGAGACAAACCTTTTCAGTGCCAGCAGAAAGTTCTCTGTTGATAGGTCTGAGACCAGTTCTAAATGCACAGCTCTGGTTACAGCGCAAGTGAACAGCGCTATGTACGCCTTGGTCATGGAGTTCTGTGTCTTCACATAGAGTGGCCCTGCGAAGTCCACACCTGTGATCTCAAATGGTGGTGACTCAGTTATTCTGTCCTTGGGCAGCGGTGCTGTTGTCTGTTGCCCAGCCTTTGCTTTGAACCTTTTGCAAAATACACATCTTGACACCACCTTCTTAACTACTTGCCGTGCTCTCAAAATCCAAAACTGTTCTCTCGTTTGCACTAAAGTGTCTCGCACCCCTGCATGCATTACCTTCTCATGTTGATAATGTACCAGCATTTCGGTATATCTGTGATTGCTGGGCAAAATCCATGGGTGTTTTTCTCTGTAAGAGAAGTCGGAATGCTGGAGCCTTCCTCCTACACTGAGCAGCTCATCTTGGTCCAGAAAGGGTTTCAGCTGTCGGATTCTGGAGTCTGCATGTGTGCATTTTCCTGTTTTGAGCGATTGAATTTCGGAGCTGAAACTCTGGTTCTGAATAACCTTTATCCAATATTTTCCTGCTTCATGCAGCTCTTCTGCTGTCAGTTCACCACTCATTTTTGTAGTTGAGCGGGCGTTAGCGATAAACCTTTTCATCCAAGCCGTCACTCGGAGCACGGTTTTCAGTCTACTGTACTTCTCTAGACACAAAGGAGGTTTTAAGAAGTTTGTGTCTTGATTAACAAGTTGTACAACAAGCTGATATTTGGATCTCAGCTCAGACTTTACCTCATCTTCCTGAATGTCTTCCTGACTGCTCTCTAACTGATCAGGTGATATCAAAGCACAAGGACCATTCCACCACAGTGTGCTCTGCTTCAAGTCCTGTACTGTTAGACCTCTAGTGGGAAGGTCAGCTGGATTTGTTTTTCCCTTACAGTGAGACCATGACTGTGGATCTGTTAGAGTCTGAATTTCTGTCACTCGATTTGCTACAAACTGTTTCCACTTGTGAGCAGAACTGCGAATCCAGTGTAGCACTATCATTGAGTCTGTCCATAGTCTCACCTGGGCCTTGTCAAGCCGCAGTGTTTCCTTGAGGGTGCTCCCCAGCCTGGCTGCTATTACAGCTCCCATCAGCTCCAGCCGTGGCAACGTCATTCTTTTCAGTGGAGCCACTCTGGACTTGGATGCAACGAGGCTTGTGGTCACTTTTCCGTCACTCGTTTCTCCCTGAAGATAAGCAACTGCACTGTAAGCCCTTTCACTTGCATCACAAAACACATGCAGCTTTAGATCCTGACCATTTGGCTGTTGTGTGTGTGTTCTATACCAACGTGGGATTGACAGCTGGTGCAGTTGGGGGAGCTCCGAACACCACTGTTGCCACTTCTTAGTCAAATCGGGCGGCAGCTCCTCATCCCATCTGAGTCCCCTCTCCCACATCTCTTGGAATAAACATTTTATCCTGATTGTGAAAGGGGTCAAGAATCCAAGAGGGTCAAAAATGCGAGCGGAAGACTGCAGAACACTTCTTTTAGTGTTTTCTCTCACCTTCAGAATGTCAAGCAGCCCTCTGAGGTCGAACACAAAATCATCAGTGGCAGGTCTCCACACCAGGCCTAGAACCTTCAGGACCGACCCGTGTGTTTCTGGCTGTGCAGTGCAATCCAACGAGATCTCCTGCCATTTTTCTCTAAGCTCAGGAGAGTTCGTCATCCATTTACACAGCTCCATGCCTGCCGCAGACATAATATTTTTGACTGTTGTTGTCACTGCCTGAGCTTCTGCCACCTCCTTTGCACTTGAGATAAAGTCATCCACATAAAGTGAGGAACGGACAATGTCTATCACTTCTGGGTGTTTACCCTCATATTGTCTCAGGTGCTTCCTAATGGTGGCAGCCAGTAAAAATGGGCTGGATGAAGCTCCAAACACCACTCTTGTCATCCTGAGGACACGCAGATTATCCTCCGTTGGTGGGCCTGTGAACCACAGAAATCTTACAGAGTCCCTGTCTACTTCTGAGAGTGAAATCTGTAAAAATGCCTTCTTAATGTCTGCCATGTATGCAATTTCATGCAGTCTAAACTTGATCAAAACACTCATCAGATCTGGATTCAAATTGGGACCTGTTAAGAGACAGTCATTTAGTGAGGGACTGCCATCTTCGTGGGATGAAGCATCAAAGACAACTCGCAATTTCGTTGTCACCTTATCCTCCCTCAGTACAGCATGGTGGGGTAAGTAGTAAATCCGACTGCTTGGTGGTGGTGTACACTCCTTAGGGACATCTTCAGCCATTCCTTGTGTTAAGTAGTCCTCCACCACATCATTGTATCTGCTGTAGAGCGTAACATCCCTTTGTAGTTTCCTTTTCAAACTCTCAAGACGCCTTTTTGCAATGCGGTAATTGTCTTGAAGTGGAGGATGAGTCTGTCGCCATGGCAACTCCACTTGATAACGCCCATCCTTAAAGATGGAGGTTTCTTCAAACCGCTGCAATGCTTCCACATCATCTGGATTCTCAGATTTCTCGCTTGTGATACCCAGGGACTCAAGCTCCCAAAATGCATGCAGCTGTTTGTCCATCTGTGCATCCTTGCTGAGCTGAATATGCATGCATGTTGTCTCTGTTATGCTGGACATGGCCACTGGGCCCTGTACTGCCCATCCAAAGGTGCTCTCAAGCGCCACCAGGCTCTCTGTCAGTCTTTCTACTCGGCCTGATACGATCTGCCAGTAGTAATCTGAGCCAATTAGCACAGAAAGTTCAGTTTCATCACCTCCACCAGCGAAGTCTGCGAGTTGAAGCCCTTTTCTTCTCATTTCGTTCTGAATGTGTTCACCAGGAACTTTCATCAATGCTGTACACACATTGGGGGTCACAACTGCTTCTATTTCAATTCTTTGCTGTCCATCCCAAACATTTTCCAAGCTGAGCTTCACTATGTTACGCTTCACCGTTGTGGGAGCAGTGGAGCCAAATGTGTGGAGGGTAAGCGTCCCTTGTCTGGTAATAGGTAGCTGCAGCGCCCTCACCACATTTTCATGCACAAAGCTTCCCTGGCTGCCTCCATCCAGCAAGCAGCGAACAATGTTCCTGCTTGTGGGACCTACCACCCATGCCTTGGCGGTTTGTAGCAGCACAGTGTTCTCAGTTTCAGTTTTGCCCCTTTTTGTTTGGGGAATTACAGAGGAAATGACAGTGTCCATGTTGGCAGAAACAACAGGCGGGGAAGCCTCATTTTTCTCACAGATGGCCACATGATGCCTGCCTCCACATGTGGCACATGACATGCCCTTTAACCTGCAGAACCTTGCAATGTGTTTGGGTCCCAAACAGATAAAACACCTGCCAAGTTTCTTCAGCCTTTCTTTACGTGCTGCCACCTGGTGGTCTGGGCAGCTTTCAGATTTGTGTTCAGCACGCTCACAGAACAGGCAGTTTTGTGTCTTCTCATTGGCAGCGTGTAGTGTAGCTGCAGATGTCATGCTTGGTTTCCTTAGTTTCACATCACAGGTTGAATATGATTTGCTGCATGTTTTGTGAGCAGACTGATTCTCTCTCTGGTTGTATGATCTGGTCATTTGTAAAGCTCTCTCTCGGCTGTTTACCTCTCTCTGCAGAAACTTTAGCACATCTGGCACCTTCCACTCATCCTGTTCTCCTCTCTGTCGGCTGTATTCAAGAGCCATGTCCTCTGGCAGCATTTGGAGGATTATTGGACATAACATGCCTCCATACGTGTCTGATACTACTCCCAGTGACTCTAGGCTTCTGATTTGAATTTCACAGTCATCATATAACTGCCTCAGCGCACTGACATCGGATGACTTCTTTACAGGAGTGAGATTCAAAAGCTTTGACATGTGGGCATTTACAATAAGATCCTTCCTTCCGAATCTGCTTTGAAGTATATCAACTGCAGCATTATAGTTACTGTCTGTCAGTGTGAGCCCTGCTACTGCCTTTGCAGCCGTTCCAGTGAGGTAAGTTTTCAGGTAGGTAAACTTTTCTTTACTGCAGAGAGCCTCATTGTTGTGAATAGCAGTCTCATACTGACTCCAAAACTCCTGCCATAAACTTACGTCTCCGTTGAATTTCTCAATCATAAGTTTCGGCAGTCGTACGGTCGGGTTGCTGCGCTGAGAGCCAGCGGTGCTTGCGCTAACGTCACTTAGCCGAGCAGGTCGGGGGTCCTCTTTACTCACAGTCTCCTGTGCACGGATTACTTGGTGAGCCCGCGCCTTCATCTCGATGATACGGTCTCTGTATTCCTCTGCGAGTTCAATCTCCGCATCCATGGCGTCCAGCGGCGTGTATTCCTCCGCTATGCGGTCCAGCTCGCGCAAACTGTCCTCTTTCGCCGACAACACGGCTAACATCTCTCGCACACGGTTAATGTCCGGGTCTTCCTTTGATACTTCACCGTCAATCTGGTTCAGCACCTTCGTTGTGGAACTCCGTATTGTCCGCCGCTTCCGTTTCGCTCTTTCAACCAGTAGTTCCTCAGCGTTCGGTTGCTCTTCGGTGCTTCTAGCTTCGTCAGCCATTATCTCCTTAATATTCCCGGGTTTCGGCACCAAAAAATGTTGTGACTTACAACCAAAAATGACGAAGCGAGACGGTCAGTTTCATTTGGTTTAACTTTAGTGAAGAACGGTGAAGGAAAAAAGTAACATACAACGTGCGCCAGTCAGCTCGGCTCAACAACACTCTTTTTTTTTTTTTTCTTTTTGCTCCTAGAGCATCCTGGGTAATAGAGTCCACTTCAATACAACTACAAATAAATGCAGTCCCAAATTTAACCACGGTTTCAAACATGAACTGTGTTATCAACATTAACGTTAACTTATATTTTTAACTCATTAACTTATCATTCAAAGGTTATGAAATAATAAGTCCTCAACAAATAAATTCACAACAGTCGTAGCAGAGAAAATATTGAATGACTTTTTTATGAGCAACAAGAATCAATGTTCTTTCTTTTTTCTAAAGATAAACGATTATAAAGTGTTACATATTAATAAGTGTTAGTACAAGAGCGTGTTTTATCTCTTGGTAACAGGATCCTATTGTGTCTTAACTTAACACCCTGATATGTTTAAACAAAGACCTGAAAGTGGCGGGGTGTTGTGAAGGGAGGAGACCTTGTGACCTTCCCATCAGCCTGGAAAACACTGGATGGCCCAGGGTGAAAGTCTGGAAAACACCAGATGATTGTTGGGAGGGTCTGAGCTCCGTAGGACAGTGGCACACCCTGTTGGGTAAAACTCTCAAAAGAGAGACTATAAAGCAACCTTTGTTTTTTTTTCTGTTTTAATGAACAAATTTCATTTAAAAGAAAAAAAAAAACATCTCATAAACTCAATGATAAATGTTTCTCTGTTTATAGGTGCTTTCCGAAGTAGGCTATAAATTAAAATGTGTTTAGTGTCTCATTTAATTCGAGGGGATTCTCCACGAAAAATTCCCATCTGAATAATCTGCCACTCTAAAATAACCATTCCTTTTCCTCCATTTTTTTTCTGTCCAGATTTCACGTTGCTCCATCATCGCCGCTTAGTGTCTCGTCCTCCTCCTCGATCCTCTTCCTCCCTTCCTTCCACTCTCCCGTCCGTCCGCCATGTCGCAGGGCCAGAACTTCCTCCCCAAATTCCTGTTCGTGTCCAACCTACTGAAAGCGGTGAAGATCCGTCAGCGCGTCCCCAACGACGTGGTGAAGCCCGCCACCAGCGGGGGCCTCATGCACCACCTGCGGGGGATGCACCGCTACACGCTGGAGATGATCGCCATGAACCACTTCCCCCAGGCCTTCAGGGAGGTGGTGCAAGCCGCTATCCTGGACCGGGCCATGCAGGCGTCTTTGGAGCAGGAGAAGAAGCTCAACTGGTGTCGGGAACTGAAGAAGATGGTGCCGCTGCGCACCAACGGTAAGGAGCATCAAACTGGTGGGAAACCGCCCTGTGTGATAACATTTTAGGTTTTGATAGTATGATGTTTCTGATGTTTTTGTCACATAATCTTTTAGATTATTTTTGCACCAAGAATGTGGAAGTTTAACAGTTTTAGGAACTGCTGCCATTTTTACCGCCTGTGGCCTTTGTTTCATTTTCTACAGCAGAAGCTTTTAGCTTATGAGTCAATGGGTTTTTGATATTGAAATTCTCAGATGTCATTACTCACAAGCAGGGTTACTGTAAATGACAACAATTAAGGTGGACGAGTTCCGCTTTCAGAGACTCATATAGCAGCACCAATGTTTTTTTTTTCTTCATGTGCTGAGCATGGCGCCCCGCTGCTAAGTCATGTTTTCTGTTGCGTGCGCCCTGCACCTCGGGAACATCCCGGGGTAGGCAAACATTCACAAAAGGGCGCCACGGTGCCTCTGATCGCAGTTTCTGCACTGGAAACTTCAGTGGCGTGTTGTTTACTGCCGGTGAGCTTTCAGACCAAAGTATTTCCAGTAGTTACAGCTTTGCTGGTTTGTCCCTCGACTTTTCTGTTTGGGCGTTTGGTTGCGCAAGAAGTGTGTAAAGACCTTTAGATCTGAAGCTTACCTGCCAGAATTTACTCCATCAGTCCATAAATTTTAAAGGGAGAGATAAGCAGGGCATTTTCAAGAAAATCACCAGCTGTAGTGTTAATAACAAAAAAAAAAAAAAAAAAAAAAAAACAGGAAGTGGAAATCAGTCTGCATTTTAAGTTTGACATTAACATTTTAAGTTTCCATCGGAAAAAAAAAAAAAAATCTTCCTTCCTCATGTGAGAAATTCCTCTACTGACCTAATCCGAGTTACTGAATGTTTTCTCCCAAAGGGTCCCTGTTGATTTTGAAGTAATAACCCAAGTGACTCACTGCAGCTTTCATCAGGGCGCAGTTCCTCATTTAGTTAGACCTTTTTTATTGATGACAAACCCCCGGCTGACTTTGGCTGCCAGTAAGTAACCTGAGTGAAATTTCCTGGCTTGATGAGGCAGAATGTTAGAGCCGGACGGTCTAACGTTGAAGGACCCAGACGTGACTTTGAGCAGAGGACGGACGCACATACACACATAGATATATATTCAGAGAGGATCTGACTGATGGATGCTGAGTCACTGGACCTCAGCTGAGAAAATGTGACGAAATAAAATGACGAAAGTCCTCCAGAGAGCTTCCAACATCTCCTTTTACTTAAAATAGCTCCCAAAAATCCTTCTTTTTCCCTCTCCCAGGCTGTTTCCTGTTTAAAGTTGTACTAGAAGCTCAAACCCCCTTAGGATTTTGTACAAATAAATAGAATTAACCAACATAAACTGCAGCGTAATTTAGAGCAGAAGATTCATATCCGTTTTCCTCTTTCCATCCCAGCAAAGTGAGATCTCATTAATTTTATTGTGACTACTCTCGGATGTCTAGAACGCATTCAAGGGATTTTCCTCCAAGCAGCGTCCCATGTCTGTCATGTGTCCCCTTCACGCAGGATTGGTTCAGCTACAATGAACTGACTCCACATACTTTAGCAGCAAAGACGGTTCTCTTAATACTCCTTCTGGTTGTGAATCTTTAAGGATTGGAACAGTTTGGGGGGGATTTTCATGTGCATCGTTCTGATTTTAGCTCAGAAATCGCCACACACGAAAACCTGGATTCCCCTTTTTGGCTGTCTAAGTTGTGTACTTCCATTAGTAACATCAAAAGATTTTCATCGTTTAACCTGCTGGATATAAAGCAAAAACATGTAGGGTTAGGCTTTTATTTATCACAAAAAAGGCATTAAGTATTAATGTCAGTTATAGTATGATTATTACATTTGGTTGTGCATGCAATATTTCAACATTTTTCCATCTTTGAGTTGAACATAGCGCGCTATTTATCCAGAGTTCTTTAATTATTGCTCCTATCAAATAGTGCTCCAAAGGAGTGGTAATTTAGTTCTCATGTTATGAATTTTCGAGTCCAAACTGCTGTCTTTTTGGTATGAGAGAAATAGCAGCAGGTAGGGGAGGGGCAGCATCACTGTATCCAAAGTTTACAAATGAAACTATAGTGTTATCTAATTCCTTTTATTCTCTGTAAATTAAAAAAAGCTGCATCTAGTCAATAAGCTGCAGAAGTTATGAGTTATGATAAGGATGTTGATGTAGTTTTTTCAGTTGTTTCTGCAGCCAGCTGAGCAGCAGTGGCAGCAGAAACTTCTTTTATTTATTTATTTCTACCCAAGCATGGTGAAGGAATCTATACTTAGATTTACGCGCCGGAAGCAACTGTCTTTCATCTTCGGGCGACAGCTCTCGATTCACGGTCAGAGGGCGTTTTGTCGACAATGTGTGTCTGTGTATGTCGCTGCTGAGGATGTCTTCTTTTTCTACCACCGTAGAGCTCTGCATTGTGTGATGCAAGAGGACGGAAATGCAACAACAGCTTGCTAGTCTGCAATAGGAGGGAATCATTTTTTGTTTTTTCTCCTTTGAGCTCTGATTCCACCTTAAAGGAGAACAGGATTTTATTTTTAAAGTGTTAGATAAAAAAACACTTTTTTTTTTGTTTAAGAATGTTAATTTTTAAAGTTTGTTGACTGAATTCTGTGAGCTACTTTGGTCGTCTGGATAGAGATCAAGGCAGAGCAAAACGTACACATCACAGGATCTGTAAAAGCCATACATGTGAGGGCTCACCTTATCGGAGGGCCCATTAATCACGTCCTCATCGGCTGATGATAACAGTAGTTTAAAAACCCTAACATTCCTTCTTCTCCAAGTCACGCCTCTGTGGAAAGTACAGGACCTGCTGAGTAGCATTGATGAGCTGGGATCAGACAAGGGATCAAACACACTCTCGCATGCATAAGCAAAGAAAAAGCAGAAGTTAGCGCAGGGAAATTCCTGTGTTTAGTGTGACAACAGGGGTATTTCAGAGCTGCACACATTGACAAATACAGCCTCTCCTGTTTCACAATGAGAAAAAACACCCAGCAGTGCTAAAGGAGTGAAAATAAAATTCCAGGGTTTTTATTTGCTCACACAAATGCTTCCTTTTAGCAACCCAGCAGCTTAAAGAAACATTAAGCAGGTTATTTTGAATAGAAGTTAATTTCAGCTAAGCTTTTTTTATGAACAAAACCCTGTTTGAAGATTGTGTGTGAGCTTTTAGACATATAAGGGTCAAGTTATAATCTACAAACCAGATAGTGATGATTAGCCCAGCGGCCTGGAAATCCCCACCCTTTAGTTACACACAAGCGGCGCGCACACAGACCGCAGTCGTCCACCAGTATTTCAACATGAGCACGCACCTTTTGAGAATCCAGTGTGCAAAATAAACGACTAATCTCCTGTGGCGTTTGTGTTTGTCTGCAGGAGACGGGAACTGTTTGCTGCATGCAGCTTCGCAGTACATGCTCGGCGTCCAGGACACAGACCTGGTTCTCCGCAAAGCTCTCCACGGCGTTCTGAAAGAGACGGACACGGCTGTGTTCAAGGCTCGTTTCCAGGCGGAGCTGCTGCAGTCGCAGGAGTTCACCCAGACAGGACTGAGATACACCACTATGGTACTAAACAAACCCTGCGTTAAAAGTACTATAGAGGCTTAATGAAGAGGCATTTATAACTGGATTGGTTTTGTTTGCAATGTCCCAGAACTGGGAAGACGAGTGGGACAAGATCGTAAAGATGGCGTCTCCGGTCTCTAGTAGCAATGGGCTCCAGTTTGACTCCCTGGAAGACATTCACATCTTCATCCTCTCCAACATCCTCCGCAGACCCATTGTCGTCATCGCAGGTACTAAATAAAACAAGCTGCATGTTGGAGCTCTGTTTAATCTTTTTTATGAAGAGCTTTATGGTCCTTTGCCTTAAGATAAGTGAGATCTTTAACTTGTTTTTGTTTGAATCAGTTCTGCTAAACATTTTTCTCTGGTTTCCATCAACAGACCAGGTGGTGAGGAGTATGAAATCTGGCTCCTCCATCTCCCCTCTGAATGTGGGTGGGATTTATCTGCCTCTACACTGGCTGCCCACGGAGTGCTACAAATACCCGATAGTGCTTGGCTATGACTCGCAACACTTCGCACCCCTCATCACCGTCAAAGACAGCGGTCCAGGTAGGACGAGAGATGGCTGGAACCGATGGGGTGTGATGCAGCGTGTGTGTGGAGGAATAAAAACAAGCATGTGTTGTTTTAGAGATCCGCGCTGTTCCGCTGATCAACCCTAAGAGGGTGGGCTTCGAGGAGCTGAAGGTCCATTTCCTGACGGAGAAGGAGCAAACGCAGAAAGAGCGGCTGCTTAACGACTACCTGCAACTCATAGAGATCCCCGTCATCGGTTTGGGTCATGAAACCGCGTGGATCATGAAAGCTGCAAAGTATGTCTGATTTATAACTCCTTTCCTTTTAACTTTGTTTAAACCGAGGTGAAGTTAACCGTGTCCATCTCCTTAGGCTGGATGAGGGTAACCTTCCTGAAGACATGAACCTGATGGAGGACTACCTGCAGCTGGTCAACCATGAGTACCAGCGCTGGCAGGAGGACAAGGAGCAGGCCTGGGCCGCCCAGCCGCAGCGACCGCCGCCTTTCTCCGTGTCCCAGCTCTCCCTCATCGAGATCCGCTGCGCCACGCCGAGGTGCACCTTCTATGTCTCCGTGGACACGCAGCCTCATTGCCACGAATGCTTTGAGAAGCGACAGGCCACCACAGGAGGCGGGGCCAGGATAGAAGGGGTGGTTCAGACCAAGGGCGTTCAGGGAGGACTGGGAATGATGGCAGGAGCGGAGACGGAGGTGAGCTCCAGAGGAGCCCGAAGCAGCAGCCCTCCTTGCTCTTCCTCTGGGAGAGGGGTGGTGCTGTCGAGTCCTCGCTCTGCCCCGCCCACCGCACCAAGCCTCAGCCTTTACAGCGAAACACACGCCATGAAGTGCAAAACACCCGGCTGCCTCTTCACCCTCAGCGTGGAGCACGACGGCCTCTGCGAGCGCTGCTTCAACGCCAGGCAGAACCACGGGCCCCCCGGGGCTGGAACGGCTGCTACAGGACCCCCGGCCTCAAACGGGGCGCCTATCGCTTCCCACCCGGCCCAAGGCCCTGGCTGGACCCAGTGGGCGGGCTGCGACTCGGAGACGGAGCGATGCAGCATGTGCAGGCAGGAGGTGTTCAGGATATTCAACGGCCTGTGTCCGCCCTGCATGCAGAGGCAGCAGGCCCCAGAGAGGGGGGAGCCGCAGCAAGGCAACCACGGGACTGAGGCCTCGGCTTGGAGCCAGGCCAGAGACATTGAGCAGCCGTGCCTCACCCTCACCCCAGCACACACGTCCGCCTGGCAGACTCCTCTGGCCCAGCGCTGTAAACGATCCGGCTGCCAGTTCTTTGGGACTCCGGAGAAATTGGGTTTCTGCACTATTTGCTATGTAGACTATCAGACCAACCACCGTAAGTCCTGACATCACCTCACCCTGCCTGTCGCAGTGGTTTCCAAATATCTACCAGACTTTTTACTAAAGTCGTTTCCCAATTTTTCTTTTTTTTTTCCAGGCTTGACTCCTCCCCCTCCTGCCCCAGTCCAAAGCAGGCGAGGTTTGGAGACGGGTTTCCAGAACGCAACGCGGTGTCGGGGGTCCGGGTGCGGGGCGGTGGGCAAGGCGATGCTGGAGGGCTACTGTGATAAGTGCTACGTCAAAGAGCAAAGCGCACGTCTTAATCAAGTGGCGCATCGAACGCCACACTCCCCCCCTCTGGTCATGGTAGGTCTCTACCCCACCTTTTGTTTTGCTGTCTCTGTCAATCTGTGGCTGCGATTAGAATTCAGCCAATTAGAAAATAGATCTAGATTTTGTGTAATCTGTTCCCAGAATATGTGAAGGCCTGAGCATTAGTGAAAAAAATAGTTCTGTGAAGACCAAGAACCGCAGCAGGACAGGTCAGGGATGGAGCTATATGCAGATTGATGAGATTATCATTGGTGAAACATGTTGGTGGCAGCATCGTAATGTCAGGATAAGAATGGAAGCTGGTTAGCGATTGGAGCTATGGAGGTAATAGACAATTCTGCCAGAAAAACTGCAGATGGCCATCCATAGACCCTCTCCTACCCTGCAGCTGTTTTCTTTTTCTTTTTGCAACTTTCCCACAAGAACAACTTTTAAACTGCACGAGGTTTAACATCCTTTTCTGCACGCCTGGTTTCCTGCTGACCTTGTCCTTCTTCTGTCTCTGCCCCTCCCATCTGCTTTGAAGCGTGACCGAGCAGCTAAACCCAGATCCTCGCAGCAATCCCAAACCCAGACCCAGACTCAGTGCCGGCGGAGCGGCTGCAGCAACGTGTCCCCGGGTTGCACGGACCTCTGCCCGGAGTGCCACACGCGAGGCCAGGGCAGGGAAGCAGGCAGGCGGGCGCAGGCGCCCAAGGAAAAATCCAAGCAGAAGTGTCGGACGCAGGGCTGCGACCACTATGCCAACCAAGAGAAACAGGGCTACTGCAACGAGTGTGACCACTTCAAACAGATCTACCGCGGCTGAGCGCGCCGCAGCACACCACGCCGACGAGGACGACCACACATTGGTAGCAAGATGGAGCCTCCGCCCTGCAGCGGGCTCCCCATGCCAGTCAATGCACCTCTGATACTAACTAACCAACTAACTAACTAGCTAGTGACTAACTAGTAACCTTATGGCCTGAAAATCAACCCCCTCCCCTAATGTCGAATGTGAAGAGAGTGTGTGTCCGAGGGGGAGGGGATGAATGAGTGTGTGTTTTGTTTTTGTGTTTGTTTGTTGTTTTTTTTGCTGTAGACATGGCCTCCAGAATACCTCTTTGTGCAATTATTATCATCTGATTCGCTGTGTGCTCTTACACGGCCCGAGGTTTGGCTCCATGTCCGACCAACTGACTGAACCCTTATGTACAGTATGTATTTAGAGGTACGTAGGGAATCGTGCCGGACAAAATGATTGTATATTGGCTTAACAAGAAGCATCTGACATTGCTTTATAGACCACAGCCAAGGATTTTTACCGTGTCTGTCTGTCTTAACCCACCTGTGTTATCCGTCTGCCCGTCTGTCTAGCGTTTGCTCTGTTTTGAAGTGATAGATGCAGTAGTTCGGAAAGCCTGGCTAAGAAGTCAGAGGAAGTAAGAAGCAGAAGTGAAATCAAACTGAGCAGATGCAATGGTCCTCACATGTTTGGAGTTCAATTGGCCTAAATCTGTCCTTAGGCATGGGCCGGTGTGAGAATAAGAAAATATGTCAACCTTGACTTAAAATACAGTTTTGCACACGAATGTTTGAGGCAAGAGGTACTTGTTTTTGTTGAAGAAAACAGATAAAGAAATAGTTCTGGTAGCTGCTAAGTCTCTTTGAATATGAGAAAAAAGCAAAGAATGCAATAATGTTTGCTTTTCCAGTTTATTAGTTCTGATTCATGAAAGATTAAAACAAGCTTCAATTTCTAAGAAATTCTCCACCTCAAACAAAATAAAAAGTATTTTTTACCACTGATTTATGATTAGATTAGTGTATCTTTGTTTGGTGACATCACTTTTGATTTCGTGAGGAGCTTAACTGATCATTTTGGAAACATTTTTTGTTAATTTTTTATTTTTGAACCAGTGCCGATTTTGATCCACAGAAACCAGCCCATGCCTCTATGTTTAAGTCCTATTTGCCAAAAGATCAGTTTTATACGATTCTCAAATAATGATTAACTCCTATTGCTCAGTTTTCCTTTTCAAGTAAAACCCATAAACTGCCACTTCTGCAGGTTACCTAGCTTGAAATGGAAAGGGAAATCAAGCCGTGCGACTAAACGGAGCGAGACAGACAGGGCAGGTCCCTGCTAGTTTTGGTGCTACATGTACAGAAACATGAGCCTTTCCCCATCGTAGCCGACACGCTGGTGTCAGCGGCCCAGAAGGCAGAGCACACACTGAAGACAGAACTCATCCTATTCCTCCTTTCCTTCTTCTCCAAAACAGATCTGTTGCCTTGGACATTGTTTTCATGTTTACTTGCAATTTAAGCACCTAGAAACATTTACACGCACACATACTGTATTGTAGTAGTTCCGGTCCTACCAGTGAGACACATGACACACATTTGCACATGCAAACGCAGCTCCGGTGAGATTGTAAACAGTCAATAAACCCTTAAAAGGTTCATTGCTCTTTTTTCGCTCCAGTCGGATATATGGGAATGAGTATGGGGCGTCTGAGAGCAATCCCATCTGAATGTGTTTAGTGCCGTTTTTCTCGTGACGGCGCTGCTATCGGGGCTCATCTTTGATAAGTTTTGCCTTTAAGTACTTCTGAAATGTTACGGACCATAGTAGGTGTGTTGGGGGCCTGATGGGTGTCACAGATCAGCCCTCCCACCTTTCAAAATGGTTTTGTGAATATGGAACCTAGTCCATATTGTAGGACCTTCCAACCCGATGCCTCATTTTACAACACAAACAGCAGAATGCACGGCTCTGTGCGTCTGTATGATACACACACAGACAAAACTGACATTTCTGTTTCTCCTTTTGTTGGTTTTGGAAGTTTTTAATGTATTTTGATAAATTTGTTTTTTTTTTTCTTCTTTTTGCCAAAAGACAAAAAAAAAAAGAAAAAAATGTGCCATCAAAACAGTTGTTGTTACCTCCTTAAAACGGCCAGCCTGGGTTATTCTAGACGAACTTAAAAGTGCCACATATTGACATCTCCGATCCTATGTTACCTTACATGAAGATCCCCCTTTTCTTTCCCTGAATGTCTGTTTGGTTTGACCAGTGAGAAAATATGTATCTGCAGATACCCTGAAAAGCAACAGTCATTCGCCTCAGACCGCTGCCAAACGCCCACTCCTCTAGATGTCCATCTGTGGCTGTAGTGTAGAAATGACAACCAGGCTCCCGGTCTGCCTTTTTCATTCAACTGTAACTGAAGCTGTCGGGCCAGCCCACACATGCTGACGGCCCGTGCGTAGATCTCTGTGTGCTTTAATCACCTCTAGACGAACCTTAATCAATTAAAGACCAATTAGCGGTCAGCTCATCGGGACCCATCCTAACAGATTTTTGGAGGTGGGTTCTGACATGTTTTTTTTGTTTTGTTATTTGCCTGGGAAGAGATCATATAAATTGCACATAATTTGTCTAAGCTGCTGAGGCATTTAGGACTTGTCTAGGGACATTCCACCGGTAGAGAAAGCATTGGTTTAAAGCAGAAGGTGTAACAAAACATGCAAATTGTTTGGAGGTTTCTTTTGACAGTAGGATATTGTATGAAAAAAAAGCCTGGTTTTATTTGTTAAGTATTTATTCATATCAAAATATCTGTATTGTGTGATTCAATAATTTATATGTTGTGAAAATATGAATTATTTTTACTAGAACTCTTGACTATTGTGGTTCTTGGCTCGTATTGTGTGTGTGTGTGTGTGTGTGTGTGTGTGTGTGTGTGTGTGTGTGTGTGTGTGTGTGTGTGTGTGTGTGGTTCTGCTTTGAATGGCTGCTTTAACAAGACTGCTAAAAATGAGACTAAAACTGGATTGAAGCTTTTATTTTGGTTAGTAGTGAAGGTAATAGCAAATAAATGCAAAGTTAAGTTCTAAGTATTGCAATACAGCTCATATGAATTCAACATGAAGTATCTTTCAATATTCTAATGTAACATTAGATATTTTATACCAGAGAAGCATCACCCTAAGCAAAGTAGAGAGTAGATTTTCCGTGCTGTGGTAAGGGCTGGTCTTGTATCAGTGAATGCATCCAGTATGGAAGCTGTCACACTTAAACACATTCATGGGTTTGTTGCTTCTTCACTTTTTTTTAACTACTAAGCATTTTCCTTCCACTCAAGTTTCCAATAATATCCAGGAATATACTGTCTACTGGTCATATCTGAAGACTGTCAAAGGAAAGACCACAAAGCAGTCTTTTACATTAAATGAGAAGGCCATATATCTTTATAAAATAAAATACAGTTTGTGTCTCATCTTCGAAAACACATTTTTTCAATGCTTCAATACAGATGCATAATTTTGCATATAAAATTAGCAGATTTGCAACAAAAAGTAACCCTAATGATTTTATTTTTAAATTTGCAATAAACTTTTGAATAATATTTCTACATAACTGAACTGTGTCACTGCGTTGACGTGTTTCTGTTTGAGAGGAAGAAGCGTAATTATAGAACACAAGCGTAAACACTCCACCATACGTTGAAGTAAACCTTTATGCCGCCTGAGGCTCATTGTTGCACAATCGTAGCATTTCCCCGAAGACGTCTATTTCTCTGTGCTATTTCTAGAAAAAAAAAAGAAAAGCATCTGTTTTCTGAATCCATCTTCAGTGTAGGAAGTTCTGTGGGTGCTGCAAAAAGATAGCAGATCACAGACGCCTGGTTCAGATGTGGCACAAAGCACCATTTTTACTGTATACAGACCTAGTTTACCCCCACCCCCCCATACACATATCTTCCCTCTTCCTCTCTTGTGTGTTTCTATTTTTTGTTTTTACTAATTTCCATAAAGTCAAGTTGAAATAGTGACTTTTTTTTGGGTACTTTTTCACATTATTCTTTTTTTTTTTCCACGCTATTGTTAGAGTGTGATATGTTTTTTTATACTTCTGAAAAAAGCGATCCCCCACCCTCTGGTAAAAATAAGATATAATAAAGAGCTCACTTGGGAGGAATAGATGATCTGGTGGGAGGGGAAGTTTGGAGTGAGTGGAGATAATGGCAGTTAAGAGATGGGGAACTGGTTACAAAGGCTGAGACAGGGACATTTAAGAAGAGTGGGACAGCAGGGTTTGCGTAGGCCTCTTGTGGTTGGCCAATGTGGTTTCCTGGAAATACCCAGGCACGCAAATACATTTATAAAACAAAAAATTTTCCTCTGACAACAAAAGTAGCAGCCTGTTATATGAGCCCCTGTCCAGTGTAAGATCACAGTTAGGAAGCTTATTTATTGGCCTTTGTTGAGATAATGCATAGAAAGTATGTTGAAAAAATTAAAATGCATCAGAATTTAAAAGAAAAATAGTGTCTCATATGAGTGAGTACACTCCTCACGTGTTTGCACATATCTTTATGTAACATAAACTTATTATATGTATGCTGATGAAGATTCTCAGTCATCCAGGTCATAACCATTCCGTAAAAGTTAAAAAAACAATCCACTGGACTTGGTTTCCAAGTTTTGAAGACTCAATTTGAATGAGAAAGCTTCCTGGAGAGGTAGCGAAGTGTCTTCAAATCTTGGAAACCAAGTCCAGTGGATTGTTTTTTAAACTTTTACAGAATGAATATTATATGTTATATAATCTGTACAGACAATCTAATAGTAATAATTTCTGTTCTTTTAAGGTCTACTTTATTATTAGCTCTGAGTTGAACAGAGCTTCACAGGTTTCCACTTGGATCCTCTCCTCCGTGTAGATATTATTGAGCTGGTTGATGGACCTCTTACTCTGAGGATGACGCACAGATGGCTCAACAGGCTTTAGGTCTGAGGACAGCACCTTAAGCAGTGGTCCTCTTCAGATGCGTTTTTGGGGCCTTCATCTTGTTTGAATGCTGCCCTTTGGCCCAGTTTCAGGATGTCAGGCATACCGAATGAGCTATAGTTCCCTTCAGCATTCAGCACCCCCAAACCACAATACTCCCACCACTATGCTTGATTAAAGGCAAGACACACTTTTCTTTGTAACCTTTACCTGGTTGCCACCACACACGCCTCACACCATCCAAACCATATGAGTTTATCTCGGTCTGATTAGACCACAGGACAGGGTTCCAGTATTCCATGTCCTTATGGTCTGCCTGTCTTTAGCAAACTGGCTGACGAATAGAATAGAATAGAATAGAATAGAATAGAATAGAATAGAATAGAAAATACCTTTATTGTCCCACTATGAGGGAATTCTGGTGTTTACAGCAGCAAAAAGATTAATGGTCATACAAATGTGGACCTTAGAAAAATGTATAAGAATAACATAATAGTGAAGAGTTAAAAGATAAAAAATAAAATACTGTAAAGTGTTTTAACAATATAAAAACTGTGCACCTGGAGAATAAATATCCAATATAAAGCTATGGACATTTTTACAGTAATGGATAGTTGAAAGTAGCAGCAACATTAAAGATGTACAAAATGACAGCAGCATGTTATTTAATTGTCTAGAAACTGCAAAATCAGCTGGAAGAAAGGATATGTGATAACGCTCCCTGATGCATTTAGGGTGCAGAAGTCTGTCACTGAAGGAGCTCTCCAGTTCTGCAGCGTCAGATGTCTGGTTTGTGCAATGATAGGTTGACAATCATCTCATAGCTCAGACCAT